TTTTGATAGCTATACAGTCCATAGAAATTTAGACTTTAACATAATGTAATGCATTGAAATCCAAGATCTGTTTGTTGGGGATTATAGAAGCTAGTACTTCAAAATTAATCGTCATCAAAAGTTTTGGAAACAAAAGAGAAGTCAATATAGGTCAAAAGGATTATTTTTTCAAAACATCTTGGTTATACAAAAGTTTTTCATTTGTTTTTGCACTCATTGCGCAATTCTAAGATGTTGTTTTTTTTCAGCATATGCAAAAAGACGAAAGTTTTCACTTTTCTTTCATGGAAAAACTGGTTTTTATTGACAGTCTGCAGTATGTAAAATTTACCAATTATCAAAAGTTTACACCAGATATTGAAAAAGCGGAAGTTAATCAAGTAAAGCATTTAGGTATGGGATCTTGGAGGACAAACATCAATTCGTCCTTATTGGCGATGCTACTATGCTAATACTGATGCTATCATATATGTCGTTGATTCAGCAGATAGAGACAGGGTAGGAGGTAGATTATTGATTGTTTACGTCAATATATATTTTTTGTTAAGGTTGGAATATCACGTCAAGAATTGGTGGCTATGCTACAGGAAGAAGAGTTACAGGGCGCTATTCTTGCTGTTTTGGCAAATAAACAGGTCTGTATTTTTTTAAAACTACAAGTTCAAGGATTTACAATGCACTTCAGTTTCTTATAAACGGCTTCAAAGCAGAGCATTTTGTAGCTTTTCCTATTTTTGCATCACATATATAATTTCCGACCATTTCTTTCAATTTGGAGCAACTGAGCACAGGTCATTGCACACTATTATATACTAGGATGAAAGGTGTTGCAGGATATTCCTAATTGCTTGACTCCGGCAGAAGTCCATAAGGCGTTAGGATTGGAAGCATTACGTAATCGAACTTTCCAAATCTTCAAAACGTCAGCAGCAAAGGGAGAAGGATTAGACGAAGCTATGGAGTGGTTAGCGAACAATTTGCAGCAGAAGAAATGAGTGAATATGTCATGATTACAACAATGCTGTCGATGTTGAGGCTATAAGGTCTTTTCTGCATTTCAGCTTGCACAGCCAAATTCCCTAGAATTCACATTTGGTGTTTAGAAGTCGCAAGAAATGACCTATAGTCTTATACTCGAGAAAGTATAATTTTATATGCTCCATACTATAGTTACTGGTTGTTCCTGTCTCATATTATTCTGAGTATGATCTAAAGATGTACGCTATCTACAAAGAGTATCTTGTTAATTTTGTTCTCAATCATTCTATTGCGAATTGCCCTTTGGTACTTTTTCGCGTCATTTCTGATAGCCTCATTGCTAAATCTTATGAATAATTTATTTTTTTTTTCGTCAGGGATGGCGCTCTATGGCGTAATAAACGCCGGCTGTTCATTTTAGCGCCTTAACTATACATTTATCGTCCTTTGCCTCTCTACGTAATGTTTCCGTTTGCAAGAAGTGACTATTCCTGTGAAAGTTGCCTGTGATTATTGACCTGCTTTTCGTTTTGTGTTGTATCAGTCTTTGGTCTTTCTTCTAATTGTTTAAATGGATTATCTAACACAATGGCGGAAAAAGTACGTGGATTTTT